AGCATAGTGCCTCAACCACTACCGCGTGTCCCCCTCGATAATAAAAAATACAATTAATTGTCTAAATTCCATATTTTTACACAGTCAACTGAACATCGCCGTTATGTGGTTAGCGCTATTTTCTCTTTTTTGCATTCGCGAAGTTTCGTGGTTTTCTTCAAAACCTTCAGGCAAATATCCGGAGAGCACTCTAAATTACGTCACGAACATTTGCTTCAACATTATTATTTCCAATTTATTATCCACTTCTGCTCTATTGGGAGCCGGGATAGCTCAGTCGGCATAGCGACTGAATAGACGACCGGGGTTTGATTCCCGACAGATGCAAAAAAAATCTCTTCTCCACAGTGTCCAGACCGGCTCTGGGGCCCACCAAACTACCTAACCGATGGGTACCGGGGGCTCTTTATCCGCTGATAATGCAATCGGGGAGTGCAGCTGACCTCGCGCCTTCAACTATAGTTCCGAGGTCAAGAATGGCGCAGTTATTATCTTCCGTCGCCTAATTTAGGTAACAGCTTTGTGTGTGGATTCTATAATGCTGATTGGCCCCTACAATATTATGACGTGTTTACCCACTGCTAGACAACGATTCGGGAAACACAGATCCTCGGAAGCAAACGCGCGCAACAATAGGACTTCCATTGCTAGTCAACGGATCTGTAAACACGCCTCCTTAATAATAGGGGTTGTGCTTTCTGTGTGATCCGTGCAAAGTAGTTACAAAAGAGTGTTCAGCAGCATAGAGTGAAGTGAGGAGCCAAGTTTCGAGACTTCAGCTTGCCAGGATATCAGCTTGGGTGTACGGGGTTTGAACTGAGTTGAGTCTTCGGAATTGGCAGCTGCAGAATAAAGGTAAGAAAGGAACTAGCCCCTTTCTGCCAGCGAGGTTTCAACCTTCTACTGGCAGTGGTATCTAATACTTCCCCATCTACAGGAGGCATTCGAAATTACTTTGGGCGGGAAACATTTTGCCAAATTTAGCTCAGAGGTCTCCTAGAGACATGAGGTTCTTTTACGTGCCGTAAAGCTACGACACGGGACCCACGGCTTAAAGTCCCTCCCGGAGGACTTGTTCCCTTAATTTTTCCGCCCTTAAAAATTCCACGACCTCCGCCGGGTTTGAAACCGCGTACCTTGAGTCATGAGGTGGGAACGTTACCCCTAGACTACGGAGGCCGCTTAAGACTTCATAACTGTCAGGACAATCGAATTCATTTCGATACGGTGCGAAAAATTCGGTCTGCGAACCTAATAACAATACTGACAACAAAACATATTAGAATAAGAAAAAAGGTTTATACGTAGAACATTTATAAATCCTGTATTTTACCTAAAATATAAACGAGCTTGACCAAAGGATACGACTGGGCTTTTATTAAGGTCGCCAGTAATGATGGTTATGATAATGGCGACAGAGACTAGCGTGTTGATTTTACAGACTGAAATCTTGCTCCCCTGCCTTTATAGACGTTGGGCGCAAAAACGTTATAATGTAATTGATCCGAAAAGAGAAATTTTACGTTATCCCAAATTTCACGAGAAAAAAAGTACTCATATTTCGATCTCGTGTGTTATACATCACCCCCATATTCAGGATACCCTGAAGGTGTAACATTAAATCTAATTCAGATTCGTAATCAATCATATTGGTATATTTCATGTCAAATGTTGAGAAATGTGTTGTGCCAGCCACAGAATTGTTGCTATTTAAGTGACAGGGAATCAGTTACTTCGTCACATTATTCAAAAAGTAAGAGAATCAATAAGTATGATGTAAGATTTGAGGTTTTCACGGCTATAGCTGATTGTTTTCGACTGGTGGCTCAGCCTGCAGCCACCTGCTCTCGCTGGTTCCTCGCTCGGGGATCTTTCTATCCTGAATGTGGAGGCGATACGTTCCTCCGAAACGTCGTTCACACAAGATCTACACGGAGCCACATCCAATAAGATGACATTCTTCATTGTGTATCTTCTTCCGAAATTCTGGTATGCAAAGGCGCTCTATTATACAAGGCCACAACAAGACACATCACTGCTGTGAAAGCAACAGATATTAAAATACAAATAAGAGAATAAGTAATTTGTATATATGTAACAACGAGTACTGTGTTTGTTAGCTTATTTGTTAGAATGTATGAAGAAATAAAATTCTAGATTCAAACACAAACAAAATACATTTAGACCTACTCTACTGTCAAATGTAACATGCGAGGAACGAAGCGATAAAACGTTTACACAATCTGCAAAAAAACAGAGGAAGAGAGGTCCTACTGCATGAGAGAAGGAAAACTGTGACATAGATAATATTTTGACCAAAGATGATAGATAATGGAGAGAGGACACTCTGTAGTTCAAAGGAAAGGAAAGTCGGCCCTACATTTAACTGTACATGACGCTGTTCACCAAACATATAAGCCTATTTAATTACTAGGCAGAGAAAACTAATAATTCCGAGCCGAAATCGGTCCTGCGTGTTTCGGGATGAAAATCCTGTGTTCAATTCTTTCTCTTCTCTCTGCTTATGTTACATGACTGCTCATGCTAATTTGATAACAAAAAACATATGTGAAGACCAGAAACCAAGTATTGTATACAAGTGACTGTGTTTATCTCATCCAAATTTTCCTCATTTCATTTCATTAATACAGTTCGCACTGCTCACCCAATTCCCGTAATATCCATATTAATATTACCCTCCCATCTACATCTAGTTCTACCAAGTGTTCTCTTTGGATATTCCGACTATAATTTTATATTCATTTCTCAACTCTCCCATCCGCGCTGCATATGCTGCTCATGTCACCATCCTCGGTTTCATCACCATAGTCGTTATTGAGTTCAAATTATCTAAGTTATCCTTTGTGTGACTCTGTATAGCCTCCCCCTATGTTAAGATTTTCCTTCAGCAGCCCTTTATAATATTCCATAATTCTCCTAATGTTATTTTCATCCTAAATATCGGTCTCAGGGCTCGTTATTTCCATCCCAGTGGTGAACTACAGGTCCTACAGGCAAGTTCTTCACTGAGACTGCATCCCGTGGATTAGCCAATATAAGTTCAATAGCTACCTGAGACGTACACGGAAAGTAGGCTAACATAAGAGGTTCTATGGTCGCATCGGCGCCTTTGCGTTCCTTACGTACAGTGTGAAAACGAACACTAAATTTGCACATTGTGGTGATATTTTCAATTTATAGATATTTATTCAGTGCGTAAGGCTGACAACCTTATCGTCATCTATGATTGTTTAGAGAAAATGTGAGAGCCTCGACGTCTCACAACCCTATGGGCCCTCACGACCTGTCACAGGGATAGCTTTACTTTTATATTTTAGCATTAAAAAGTAAAAAAATTAAAGCTATCCTTGTGACAGGTCGTGGAAGCCCATAGGGCTGTGAGACGTCGAGGATCCCAAATTTTCTAGACAATCGGCTCACAGATGGCGATGAGGTTGTCAGCCTTACTCGCTGGCCGCCCTTTACCCCCTGGAGTATTCCTGGTACTCATTTCTGTTAGAGGCTGAGTCGAGCCCAGGGTCATAATGCAGCTGGAAGCATTATGTAAATTGAAAAAACCCACCCCATCGGGAGTCAATCCCGCGACCTTCCGGCTTGTAGCATAGTGTCTCAACCAACTACGCTACCGCGTGCCCCCCAGCTTAGCATTACAGATACTTATTCAATTAGTCACAAAAATGTAAATATTTAAATAAATATTAATACATTTTGTAGCAGGTGATGTCAAACTGTGTATCACTGACTGGGTCTGTACAGCAGGTCATGTTCCACTGTTATGAATATAGAGGTGATTCCGAAACGGACAGTTTGCCTGCCGATGTAAGTTTACTGGTTAGACCAAGAGCTTGAAAGATGAGATAAAAGAGATATATGTGCGTGTATAGAAGTGTGAAAAGACACACAAACACACACACACACACAAAAACCATTCCAACGACAAAAATATTCATATTGTGTGTGCTGTTAAAAATGTGCAACTCTTCCATATGGCCATTTCACACAGATGTCAGAGCCTTGTTTTTAATTTCCTTTTTTATAAACATGCATCAACTAAACTGGAAGCAACATTCAGATGATTTTGAAACGTCTGTCCATCCTTTGAGGATCTCTGCGTTTCGGAAGTGGCCCTATTTTAAAAAGGAAATATAAATATTGATGTAATATATAAAAACAAAAACTAAAAAACTCCGTGCCCTTAGTCCGCAAAAAAAAAACTAAAAAACTCCGTGCCCTTAGTCCGCAAAAAAAAAATTAAAAACCCCGTGCCCTGTAGTCCGCAAGTGAACTATACCGACTGAGCAACCGCCGTTTGTCGGCCAAGATAGTGCCAACTATAGCGGATAGAGGATGTCGCGAGCAGAGGATCCTCACGGCCTTTAATCTCGATTTTCTAGACCGGAGCCGCTATTTCCTTGAAGTAGCTCCTCAATTATCCTCACGAGGCTGAGTGGACCCCGTTACAGACAAACTGTTTCTCAGAAAATCTGGTATCTCCGGGAATCGAACCCGGGACCTCTGGATCTGTAGCCAGGAACTCTGCCCACTAGACCACAGAGACGGTCGATGTAATACGATTATATAAGAGAATAAAACTCTGTTAACAGAAATGAATTTTGAAATATATTGAAAGACTTTTTTTATGTTTCAAACGTAAATCTTCCTTATAGAACGAAATTTACGTACAAAAGTACATGGGGCATGCGCAGATTTCATTATATTTTATGAGATTTGTGATAAATTATTTATTTGGTGGCCGAATCTATAATAATCGTGGAAGAGATAAGCGTAATCAGAATCCCGTGAGTCACGAGCAAACTGCATTGAGAGACAGTACAAGAGCAAGGGAGCACGAGAGTCTGTGTGAAACTGGCAATGCAGAAGCGACAGAGAGCCCAACACCACTACAGCAAGACGGGTTATATTGCCAGGCTACGAGTAGTTGTTATTTCTGTTAGCGTCTCCTTGTGCGCATTTCTTACCGGCGCTCGACCTGGATTTCGTTCTGGACGTTTTCGAGTTCGCGGCCCCGGAACCTGCTCCAGCGACACCCGGAGATCCGGACACCATCTGGTGGTGCCCCGACAGAGACTTGGTGCTAAACATGGCGGCAGGGTGATGATGGTGGGACATACCGTGGTGGTTCAGGTGATGGTGATTCAGGTGATGGGAAGGATAACTCATATACGACGGGGTGGATCCACTTCCGGTGTCGTGGTGATAGGGGGATGGCTGCAGGGGTGGCGGCGGAGGGTAATGATGCGACTGACTACTCATGCCATGCGATGGCTGTGGGTGGAGGGCGGAGGAGGAACTGTGGAGCTGCTGGGGCACACTCAGGTGCTGAGAGGACGCCGAGTCTCTTGGAGACGCTTCCGCAGGAGACGCGGCGGAAGATGATGTAGAAAAAGCGGAACTATTATTCGAAGCCGTGGACGATGTACCTTCTCTCTGCTTGACGCCGCCAGAGGCATTGGCTCCCCCGGGGCAAGTCCCCGCCGCGGAGACAGAGCTGTTCAGCATATTGACGCCCGGTTTGATGTCGAGAGAGCTGTTGTTGCTGCCACACAGGCTCGACCCCGTGGTGTCCTGGTGGTGCATGAAGGCGACGCCCATTGCTGCCGCATGCGCGACAGCTGCTGCGGCGTTCTGGTAATCCACGGAGGCAGAAGTCGCCGAAGAAGTCGCAGCAGCCGAGCTCGTGAGAGCCGTGCTGGCAGCCGTCACAGAGTCGGGGGTGGCGTCCTTAGGGGGTGTGGGTGGGAAGCTGAAGAGATGGTGTGCCGCCGCGCTTGTGGAGTGGTGGGAAGTGCTGGCGGGGGAGAGGGAAGGAGGCTTCTCGTCTGTGGAGTTGCTGGTGGTACCGCTGCTGCCACTGGAACCGGTGCCAAAAGGACTGCACCAGGCGGAACCGTGGCCCACCATGGTCTTGGTGGTGTCGGTCAGCCACGGGTGCAATGGCGTGTGGTGGAAGTGAGGCCGGCACACTTGACTTCCGGCGGACATCCGCGCGGCGGCAGCTGCTGAAACACGATGCATATTCATCAGCACTCAACCTGCTCAGGGTTCGGAACTCTGCAACAGTCCTGTTCAATTTGTACGCACGTAATCTTCAGATACCAATTACAAGAATGCCCACAACAATATCCCAAGAAGATATGACAAACAGAAATATATCACCACGAAGTAGAATTGTATTGGAAAGGGAGGGAGTAATATTGAAGCTCCATGTAATCTTAAACTTGGACCAAATGTATTCATGTGGTCATCCCTCGGCCTTGTATAGGTTTCTGGGTGTCCGAGAACATTATCGCAAAACATGCTCTGAGACGTGGATCTTTGTCCACGAACATTTAGAATCCAAACAGTTAGACGTCAGAAGAAAAGGTGCAAATCTGTTAGTATCTAATCATTTCAGTTAAGAGTTTTTAAGGTGTACCAACGTATGAGAGATGTTTCTGTAGCTCATGTGATCAGGGTTTGTCATTTGCTTCAATTTCCATGTATGTGTATGTACACACTACCAAGTTAAAATAGTTTTTCCTTTCGAAAACAAATTTTGACGACTCGATGGCAATTGGACTGTAACAGCAGTCAAACAGACTATCGTTGCTTCCCTACTGTACACTAATATAACCTGGTTTGTGGAATATACCTCTTTAGTGTATAGTCGCTGTCTATCCCAGCATAATTACAGGACATCTGATGTGACTAATGTCTATACTACGACTTTCCTTCATTTATTTAATTAAATAATGTATTAGTATTGTTAGTGAATTGAATTATGATAGTCATCCTTCCTTTTGTATTTTTTTCTCTTTTATTTTGTTAATGACATAAAATCAGTCAATTTTCAACTTGTCAGATGCTTTCACGGGGATCTCTTCCTCTGACAACATTCAACAAGAGAATAATGAAGAAGGCAGGCCTTTAGGCGAAGCAAGAATGTGGGCCAACAAAAATTTCCTTTCAATAAATAGGGAAAGGTTAGAAAATGAAGCTTCTACTTCCACATAACATCTCAAACATTCCTGGATTCCAAGTAAATATTTTAAACAGGACTAATGACAATGACTAGGACCCTTGTTACTAATTGATGCATATCATCCGGAGTTCAAGAAAAGACACAACATGCCACTTCTTTACAATATCACTATTAAAATATTTCAAATTGACATTAAGTACAGGAATAAATTTCGTTTCTAGCTTTCTTGTAATCTGTACATCCATCCATCCATCTATGGCTCTACAGCCCTTTGTTGGACCTTGGCGGCGTTTTCAGTTTCTTAATCTTTTACACATACGGTGGGGCTCCATGGAAGGGAGATGAGCCCTTTGCCTGACTACTATATACACAAGCAGAACACACAAACATAGGAATACACGCACTCACAGATATCCATTTCTTGAGTGGGATTCGAAACCACGACCCCAGTGTTCAAGCAGGAGAACAGTTCATGCCTTAGACCGCGCCGCCGCTGTATCGGAATTTTAAGTGTTACAAAAGAACAGTAAATCTGAGTCCACTAAGACTGTGGGTTCGAGCACACTAAAGATGACATTTTTTCTATATCATTACGTCTGTGTCTTGAGCTTTAACCACAAGAAGCAACCTGAAGTTATATGAACAAATGCTGGATATGAGGTTCTCTTATCGGTTATTATGAATCCTTCTATCTTCTGTGATAAAACGCCATGTAGTTCGGTGCTGTCTGCTTCGTGCTGGTTTCTTATTTTGCTTAATCTTAAACCCTGAAAATGGGAGCGATATGTTCCTCCGAAATATCGGATTACTTCCATTGCACTGCACAGCTTTACATAACTCTTTTTATGAACATAGTTTCTCTCAAATTTCATTTCCTATTTGAGAAACAACACATAAATTTTCGTTCCTTTCGTCAATGTTGTTCCTTGACAGCTAAGTTCCATTTCCTAATTCTAGACGTCACCCCACTCGACACAGGGACTGTACTGCAGACGCGTTAGGAACGCGTGGCTTTGCTATAAGAAAGCAACTGCTACTTCCTACAGCTTGTAAATAGAACTAATGGCTTTCAGCAATAAGAACAACAAGAGGCATACAAAATCTGAAAATGGAAATACATGTTTTACACTATATGCCACTTTAAGTGACACAGTGACTACAAGCCTATTTGATGATGCTTCAGCAACACGAGGTCTTGCTGTGAGAAAGTAATTGCTACTTTCCGGAACTTGTAAACAGAAGTAATGACTTTCAGCAACAACAAGGCCTCCGTGCGTGAATACATTTCCTTAACGACTATTACAATTAGGCCTACGGATGCCTAAACTCGAAGTAATGTAACTGAAAACCACTGCAGTCTGTCTCGCTGAATACGGATTTCAATTTAATTGGTTGGTCTGAGAAATGTAGTCAAAGTCTTGTTAAGGACGGCCAGTCGGCCAGTCTCTCCAGATATGAAGCCCCCACCTGGGTCCCAAGACTAAATTTTTATTACTGTCAGGCAGTTGCGAGTTTTTTTATGTTGGGCGCCCTCTCTGACGAGATGAATGGTTTGTCGTTTATAACTGGTCCTCGTCTCGCAGTCTTTCTCTGTCCGAGTCCCGCGGGGCTCATGGCCATATTTTATAGTTCCGTCTAAAAAATATATCAGTTCGTACCTCATAGGAAACACATTACGTCTCCTCTAGACCAGCCGGCTGACGCTCTTTGGGAAAACAGACGCTATTTATTGTGAGAACACATGTATATATAGTGAGCAATAGGCAGAATTCTGGTGTGTCAAAGCAGGTGGTACATATAGTAACCACTAAGCTTTAAATGGTAAAAGCGGTTGAAAGCCACTTTATAACTTCATGGTCTCTGGCATCAGCATGACGCATTGTCAGCGGACGTGTACTTATTACATTGTGCAGAATGCAGCCATCTTTGAAGGTGAGGATCACAGTCATCGAGGCTGCCCATTGTACTCCCTTCAGCCCCTTCTGACCTATACCAAGAAGCCAAGCGATTATCATGTGAGCAGAATCGCGAGACGGCTGGAAAGAAGCTGCAGGCGAAAGTTTGGAGTGGTTATTTGATTTGATTTGATTTGATCAACGCGCTGCCAGGCAACAGCTCTGTATATATGGTCCAACACGCAACAATAGGTGACGCTGTATTTTCTATGTCGTTCGCGCCACACGCAGTCTGACACGTGAAAAGTTCTTCCTGTGTGGTCTGCACTACAAAACACTAGAACTGTGTTTTCTGTGCGTGGTTCGTGCCGAGAGTATATGAGAGAATATGTTGACTTGAGTTCCGAAGTTCCAAGGGAACAGCAGTGTGGCCTGAAGAAGAATTAGAAGACTTAGTGTGTGACGTTACATGTGCTGTAGTACATTGATATTGGGAGTGTGTAATTTAGTGAGAGTTTTATAGTTCCTGTGTTATAAATCCGTTGCTAGTAAACGACTAGTGAAGACTAGTGGAAACAAACAGAAGTCTAGTGCGGAGTGATTGTAAATTTTGTAAGGCAGCGATAGTGTAGTAATTATTTGTAGTTACGACCTCAAGGTGGTTAATAAATCCAATTACCAATCCGAACCGCGTTTCTAGTCACTAATGAATGTGACAATATGTTTACAGAGACTAGCTCTATACGTGATATGGAGTAAGTATATCCTTTCCCTACTTTAAATAAATGTAACTTACTTCATAAGAGGACACTGTTCAGACAAATGTTGCAGTTTAAATTACGTCTATATTTTGAGTTGTGTTCCAAAATATTTTACAAGATAAACTACACTTAGCCGGTCACGGTAGCCGAGAGGTCTTCGCTTGCTCTGAAGTCGGGATCGTGGGTTCGAATCCAACTCAGGTATGGACGTTTAGTGTTTGTGTGTAAGTGTGTGCGTTTTTCTATGTTTGTGTACAGGTAGAGACCTTGCGACGAGCTGATCACCCGCCCAAGGAGTCCTACCGAATGTGTAAGATCTAGAAAAACCGAAGTGAAACGGAGGGTTTCATGGAGATAGGCCAAAACCAAAATCGGGGCTGTAGCGCCAAAAAGGGGAAAAAAAACTATTCTTAAGGAATCCGATAAAATTCAATTTGACTTTGAAGCAAACTTGAGATTGTAATGACCTTAAAAAAGCCAGAATAAAATGCGCTCGACAGTCTGAAAGTTATTAATTTAATATATTAAACTTCAGCAGTGAGGACCTAGAAGACAAGTGTTTTGCAGTGTGTCTCTGACTGTACCTCGGCTGTACACCTTGCGTCCGCCATAACTGCGAGTGACTGGAGACAGCCGCTGCAGCTCCTTCCGCCTATATTTTATTATGGCACAAGGAGAGACCCACAGCACCGAGTCACCTGGTCCTAATGACGTCACAATGCACCTGCCCCACGTTAAGCTAATAACGCGGAGAATTATTCTTGAAGTCCCCGACAATTAGAAAGATGTTACTTCACTGTTTTCGTCTCAACACAGGTCACGTAAGCTGAGGGCCGGGTCATAGCCTGGGCTTCCAACCTAGGATAGGTTACAGAAACGTAAAGTTGCCCTTGTGCTGAATTAATTAAGCACCACGCAAAGAACACGTATGGAGGAATGGAGGTATAGCTCCAACATTCTTGACCTCAGAACTAGATGTAGATGAGCGGTCACCTTAACGCCTCGGCCGCTTTAACCCCAAAGGAAAGAGCCCCCGATTCCATTGGACAGGAAGCTGGCTGGACCTTAGAACCAGTCTAGACGCTCTGGAGTACAGAAAAATGACTTTTCCCCATCAGTAATCGAATTCCTGTCGCCCAACCCGTAGCTCCTCGATCCCAGGGTAGTCCATGTGGAGTCTGTGGTGGACACAGTGGCACGGGGGCAGATTTTCTTCGGCTTCCCTCAGTCCCTAAATCCACACTCAGCTATCATCAGGAGTAAGTAAAACAGACACATCTGAGGCCGCAGTACCAGGCGCTCCTGTACACACGACTCGCGAATCCAGAAAACTGGCGACTAGGGAATAACACAGCGCCTTGTAATCATTTGCATTGTATTTG